CTATTGATGAGATAGTTATTTGGGAAAGCATTCTTAAATGGGGATTAGCAAAACATCCAGAAATCAATAATATCAATGTTGAAGATTGGTCATTACAAAATTTTGCTGATTTAGGCAACACATTAAAAGAATTTATTTCTTTAATAAGATTTCAGGATATTTCTAAAGACGATTTTCTTGATAAAATTGAACCATATAATATGCTTTTTCCTAGGACTTTATGGAAACCCCTTTTACAATCTCATTTATACCCTGATAGTCAACAAACTTTAAATTTATTACCACCAAGAATCTCAAAAGTTAAATCATTGACAATTAATCAAAACCTTACTTTGCTTTTTGCAAGTTTGATTGATAGAAAAAGTCCACCATATACCTCATTCAGTGAAGTCAAATACGAATTCAAACTTTTATATCGTAGTAGCAGAGATGGTTTAAATGTAGCTACATTTCATCAAAAATGTGACAATATCAACAAAACTCTTGTAATTGGCAAAATACAAAATTCAAATCAAATAGTTGGTGGCTATAATCCACTTGATTGGAATGGAAATGGTGGATTTAAAAATACAACAGGAAGTTTTATATTTAATATAAGTAATAGAAATAATATTAACACTGCAAAATTTAGTTATGTTATCAATAATAATTATGAGTATGCATTTTGGTGTAATTCTTCTTGTTTACCTTGGTTTGGTTATGGTGATGTTTATTTTAATGTAGATGATGATATTGGTAGTAGCCCATGTGCTTATAGTGGCATTAATATAGTAAATGGTAGTAAATTTGATGAATTAGAAGTTTTTCAAATAATTAATAAAAAATAAAAATAATAAATACAACTTTAAATTAATATTATATTTTCTTTTCATTAGTTATAATTTAATTACTTTATATAGAAAGTTTCCAGCAAAAGGTACTTAAAATTATAATAAATTTTTTTGAATACAAAATATTGTTATACACTAATTGTTTATTAGAGGTTCAGCAGAGTTTTGGCAGTCATTAAGAGGTTTCCTATATACAGAGTATCTCTTTCTGTTTCATCCTCCTCATTTGATTTAAAAACCATCAATTGTGTTTTAATACAAAGATCCAGTTTATTACCTTCTAATTCTTTTATCTGGAATTGTCTTTCCAAAAAATTTTTTGAAGCCAATTGTTTTAAAGCATATTCTTTTTTTAATGGCATTTGCAACTTGATTCATCTTCAAATCCTGGGCTGCTTTAAATACCAATTCATTTGTACATGTGCTTCTAATCCTAAATCATATTTTACATAAAAAATTAACATTTTATTATTTAGTCAGTTATATCATTTATTACCTTGTTAGCTACATCATTGATTGTATCATTATTATTATTCTCTCAGAAAATGTTTCTTTTTTTAATTATATTATTGATTTTATCATTAATTATCTCAGAAAAACGTTTCTTTTTTTGATGAACAATACATTTGTATTTTATTACATCCATCATTAATTGCATTACTTATTATTTCATTTGATAATTTAGAAAAGAAAAAATCATTTCTTTTTGTATTATGACCAATGCATTTATGTTTTTATTATATTTTGTATGTATAAAAAGGTTGATTTCATAATCTTCCGAACAACCTATATAAAAGATCAGTCTAAATAAATATTGTTTTAAAAATCACATTTACGTATACAAAATCATGAACAACTAATATAGAGTCACGTGTTCTTGGCAAGGCGGTTCTCTCAACGGGTTGGGCCATCATTCCCAGCCATTCATGACCAACTTATCGAGTTATCTGTATATGCTATTTGATTTAATTCTAATAATATGAATTACAATGTAACTGATGACATTTTTTCCTTCGAATTATATAAACGTCCTCTTTCAAATCATAGTGTTGTTGATGGTCACATTCAATAGTTTTTACCACACCTACTTTTTTAGAAAATTTTCGACGAGCAAAAGCCTACCTACCCTTTTTGGTATAAGATAGTCACCTCTATACCCATTCAAAATAAAGAGCTGGTCGGTTAGTGCAACTGACTGAGGTAGGTGTGGTTTTCCTGTTCATGTGTCACAAGGAACTTGAAATGGAAGTCACATTTGGAAATTTAACAAGACTGATTATGTTGAAAAGTCACCCTCTAGAAAAGATGGATTTACTTATGAAAAAGAACATGTATAAAAGTGAAAACAACGCGATTCATTATTCAAGTTCGTTACCATCTGAAGCTATTTCTACTGCAATCATTTTAAATAAAAGATCTTATTTTATTTAATCCTCAAATCACTGTATCTATGGCTATAACCTATTTTTCGGCAATTCTACATGTTAAACAGTTTAGGAAAATTTGATAGCAAGGTGGAACTCTACATCATATACATTTATATATTACACTTGTATGCATTTATTTATATGATTTATACAATCTAAAGGCATATTTTTGGCATGTAAAGCAGAAGAATCGATCAGAAAATGCTTGATGTCACAATATCATGTGCAAGGGTTTACTATGAAGACCTAACAGATTAGAGAAAGTGGTAATTTGGTTACTATTATTATTGTATTTATATGATATATGCTGTATTATCATATAATCTATTTATTTATTGAAATGTTTTAGGAATACGAATTTTGGAGATCAATAATAAAAATATTGGAACCAATCATTATGCTATGATTATTCAATTGAATATCTTTATCATGTTTATATAAGGTATATGAAAGGTAGTCAATGGATATGAAGAAGATAAAGAAAATGAAAATGAAAATAATAATTTTAGGTTATAGACATGATGTATAAGAAAATTGGCAGAAGGAGTATGGTCAATAATAAATGAAATTTGAGTTAATTGAATGATTGGACAAGCATTTATTGGATTAATATAACTTACATTGTGCGAACAGCATATTTTGCTTTATAATTTGACATTTTGATTGTTTTTCGTGATGAATGAATCAACCAAATTATATGTGATGGTGTCACAAAAATGGTCAGTTGACGACAATGTTTAACAAACAATTCTTTTTTTATGTTACGTAAAGAAAATAATAAAATCAATCCGGTGGAACATTCAGGATTTTTTTTTAAAATGACAGTCTTTTTGGTAATTTTATTTGTAAAAAAGAATTTGTAGTTTCACCAAGTTGGTTGCGTTGTGATAAATACTCTCTATTGATCATGTCGGGAAGTGAAGTGAGAAGTCAACATGGCATGTTGATGTAGATGTAGAGGAGATCTTGAAAATCAACTTTTTGTTAAACTTGATTTTTGTGAAGGAATTTTCTATTTCGTTTTTTTTGTGTTTGCAGGTCAATGAAAGTATTTATAGTACTGAGATTTAAAGCCCGATTTTTTACAACGAATTTATTAATTAAATTTTCTATACTGTATAACGAACTGTCCTATATTTCCTATATTTGTCTATAACGAACTGATTATCTTCTATTTATTTTCTTAATTTAGTAATTTTACATTTGAATAAATTCCGATTTGGTAATTTTACATTTTATATTAATTTTATATTTAATATAGTGCAGGACACCTAGTCCCGCAACTTTTTATTGGTCTTGTATATCCTTTAGTATACCAGAAATGGAAATGTAACACCAAAAAAACAAAACATGATTT